AATTCAGCCTTTAGGAATTAGTGAAAATTTTAGCTTGATTTCTTCATTTCACATCTATGGCACTCACCTTTTCTCCGATGCTGTGCCAAATGAGAAACAGTTTGTGTGTCCCTTTTCTCCTCAGTAGGGCTTGCCACTTTTTGGCATTTGGTTATGTGGCTGCCTTGTGATCTCAGCCCATACATTCAAGAAAATGTACGGATTCTGTAGATTATTCACTCTCTTTTTTTTTTTTTGAAGATTTTATTTATTTATTTGACAGAGAGAGAGACACAGTGAGAGAGGGAACACAAGCGGGGGGGTGGGAGAGGGAGAAGCAGGCTTCCCACGGAGCAGGGAGCCCGATGCGGGGCTCGATCCCAGGACCCCGGGATCATGACCTGAGCTGAAGGCAGATGCTTAATGACTGAGCCATCCAGGCACCCCTAGATTATTCATTCTTATGGATAGGAAAGGAATGATGTCTCTTGCAGGTTTCTACATCCTAAATAAAAGCAGAACTCCCACTAATGTTTGTTTGTCTTTTACCATGAGTATGATCTTGATTATTTAAAAACCATGAAGGGTAGGAATTATATTTGTAGAGTCTAGCACAGGGTTGTACATTGGTGGCCTATGGATTTCACATGAAAACCTGGGTTTCTATATTATTCTGAAAAATGTGAATATCTGACACACTTGATCCACATTTACTGACCTTTTCACGGGGCATGCCCAGAGTAACACAGGTCCCTCACCACTGACTCCTCCATCCTGGGGCAGACCATTCTGAGATCCAGGTTGGCTCCTCAGAGCCCTCTTGGAACTAGGGCTGTGGCAGAGTATTGTTCCATATAAATCCTAAGACAGAAGCAGAACATGGCATGTGACAACTGAATGCCCTGGATAGGATCACAGTGGGTAAAGGAAATCTGAGATCTGCCTGGGAGGGGACATCATACATCCTTCCTACAACAGCTTGGCATCCTAGGTGGCTCTTGGAAGTGACTGCAGAACTCCACATGTGGGAATGCCAACTCCATCATGTAAGCAAAACCAGGATGCCAATTTTTTGTTTCACCAGAAAGCAATCCCAAAGAAATCCTGAGAGGTAGGTATTACTTTCCTGGGAGGGGCCAGAGGGATGGCCGACACCTCTGGGCCCAGGCCAAGCACTTCAACTCTGGCCTAAGCTGGACACAGGCAAAGGTCAACCCTCCACTCAGAGGCTGGTGTGCTACTCCCTTGGGCACATTCTACCACCAGGCAGAGCAACACTAAACTGTTACCAGGACTTCAGGGACTTTCTCACAGGGTGGGGCCTGTGGATCTGTGGGTTCGCTGCAGCAAGTGCAGTTCCATTTCCTGGGGAAAGGGAAGGAACACCAGGACTGGACTGGATTGGGCAGAATTGCTTCCTTAAACTCCTAGAAGTCCTTTATTTAGGGAACAAAAGTAAATGAAGCCAAGGAAGGGAGCTAAGGCCCATATCTGAGAAGCAATGTCATGAGACAGATCTGAGGGGAAGGTGTTGGGCTCTATCAGCAAAGAAGGCTGAGAGCTGAGGGGGAGGGGAAGGGAGAGGCAGTTGGATGGCATGAGGCCAGATTCAGGCTGAAGATGGGTCCAGAGGGTTTTAGGCTCAGGAGAAAATCAGACTGCAACACCTAAATGCCCACATCGTTTCCCAGGAAGGGAGGCCGGGGGGCAGGGACGGACCAAGCACAGCAGCACCTAAAACATGAACTCCTCAGTAAGCCAGCCACACTTAACCTATCTGGGGCTCCCACCAAGTCTGCCGAGACTAAAAGCTTTTTGGAACACCTACAGGGTTAAAAAAGAAGATATCAAACAAATGGAAGTTCACAAGAGCACTTCTAACTTCATGAAAAATAAGATTAATCAGTGGAAGTAGGAACTTTTAAAGAAAAGAATCAGAACTTCTTCTCTTACAAACAAAGCTTGAACCTCTTAGCAATCACGACTCTGATTGCAAGGATCTCACTCAAGTGCCTGGAGGGTCTTTTACTGCCAAGAACAGGAGAGCTAGAGCACTTCACAGAGCAGAATTACACAGAATTCAGCTCAGGTCTAAAACGGCCCAGACAAAGGCCACAGACCATTTTCAGGCTGAAATCAGCATCAGGCTTTTTTTGTGTGTCTTAGAAGGAGAAGGTTTTTATTAAAGTATAAAATTAATTCATAGTCACTGAAGGAAATCTGCAAAATACACAGAAGTATAAAGAATTTTAAAAATCTACATTCCATCATCCAGAGATGGCTTACATTTAAAAATTTTTTTTTCAGTTTTTTTCTGTGGATACCTGTATGTTTCTCCACACAAATCAGGATTATATTAAGTAAAAAAGTGTTTCCAGCTCTTCTCTTTTACTGTATCAAGAACAGTTCTCCATTGCCTAATTATTTCTTGAAACTTACTTTTTAATGGTTCCATAATATTACTTTTTTATGGATATGCCCTCAATCATTTTTTAACTGATGATCAATTGTTTCAACTTTTCATCATTTTAAAAAGATTCTAGTAAATATCTGTGGGTATAATCTTTGTGTATCTCTCTAATTATTTCCTTAGAAGAAATTTTTAGAATATTAAGATTTGAGAGCTTCTCGACACCCACTCTCAAATTACTTTTCAAAATGGTTACACTTCTTTATAGTCACACTAACAGTGTATAAGCATGCTTGTTTCATGCATTAGCCAATACTGAGCATTATCATTTAAAAAAGAGAAAAACAAAAACTTTTGTCCATTTGTTAGTTGAAAAATGAGATTAGCTGCACGGTTTTATATTTCTCTCATTATTAATTGGACATTTCTTCATATGTTTATTAAATGCTTTTTTCTATGAATTATCTTTTTATGACACTTATCTATTTTTCATATAAGCAGTAAGCACCTTGCTTTGATTATGATGCAGTTTTGCTATATAACCAAAAGGAATCTTTAAGGGAAATTCATCATGTTAAAAGCCTTTTGATTTTTGGTTTAAGCTTTCTAAGGATTCCATTGAGGCAGAATGAGAGGTTCTTCTACAGCAGAGCCTCTCAAGGTGTGGCCCTTGGACTCTGTGCATCAGAATCAAGGAGTAGGAGTGGGAGAACATGCATTTAAAATCCTAAACCCTCACCCTAGACACAGAATCAGCATCTCTGATCACTGGACCCAAGAACCCACATTTCTATAATCTCTGCATGCTTTACATGCAGCCCAAATTTGATAATCAAAATGAGTACTGAGACAAATAAACCTGATATTCCCATACTCTCTGGGGAAAAAAGGGAGATGACCATACAGAGAAGTGAACCCAAACTTTGAAGAACAGAAGTTGAGCTTCCTACTCCAATAGGCTTTTGGGTCTTGTACTTTCTGTTCTTTTGATTTATTGACCTCCATTGTTCTTTAACTTGATTCATGCATTATCACTCATCTACTTGGTCCCCCAAGTTGGAAAAATTATAGCCATCCGTGATGCCTTCCAATTCTTTGCACTCCTTACTTCTTTGCATATATGCAAAGAAGGAGTGCATATATGCATATATTCTATGTATATAACTGTCCCTTTAACCTACAAATGTCTCGAAGACTCTCTTTCTCTTTTTATCACCTTTTAGTTTAGTCTCTTATTCTCACTATCTCCTCTTTCTTCTATTTATTCTACCCATAATCTCCATCACCACCCAATCTCCACACCACACCAGTAAGCATTCGTTCTAAGTAGCAATGTGTCCACAAGCCTCTGCATAGTAAGATACCCTCCCCACCAGCCCCCTTCCCATTTTTTGCTGCCCCTAAACTCCTCCGCATTCTAGTGGAGGGGTGAAAACTGGGAATTTTAGAGGGATTAAAGGACTGGAGAACACTAGAGAAATTCAGACAAACTCAGTAGGCATGAATGTAATGTGCAAGAGACAGCTGTGGCCAGTTTCAGCTCCTGGAGGTCAAGCAACACTATTTAAGGTGTGGCCCTCTGGGTGGGATGCTGAAGTGTCTGAGAGGACAAGGGCATGTGAGGCCATTTTGTTGAATGGGTCATCCGCACAGACCCTGAAGTAGCTCAACTACATGCTATTATTCACAAGTAGAGAGCCAGTGAATATGATCAGTTCAGAGTAACCTTTCTCCATTCCTGGAAAAACAACTTAGACCAAAGGACAAAGGGTTATTGTGTTGTTCTCCCATGTAAAAGTAAATTTTGATGAATTTGGTGGGACATTTTGGAGCCAAAGTCAAACTGTGTGTGTGATTGTCTTGTAAAGGTGCTAGGACTTAATTTTCAGATCTGGAATAAGAACAGGTGGCAGCTGATGGCAGGAGTCACAATGGTTTCCATGACAACGGGACTGGATCTTAGTCATCCTCCCATCCTCCACAAAACCTACTGCAGCTTTTCTCATAAGGTGCTTATTAAATATTTGTTAAATGAATGATGAATCACAGAATAGTGTGTGCGCTTTGCAATTAAGGCTGCCGTCCTCTAGCTAGCTAAAAAGCTTTTAAAGCTACAATAATTACTGTACTTACCCATGATATTTTGCATAATTTGCATATTAACTTAACCCGAAAATAATAAACTACAAATTCCCATTCTTGCTGAACCACCCTGTCTCGCATCTTTACCCTATTGTAGAAGTAGCCCAGATGTTTGCTTAAGATGGCCTTAGGAGGGGAGGGTGCCCCCTGTGTCATATACGTGCCTGAACATTAACTAGAAAGACCTGTTTCCCCCTTGAAGTCCCCCTCCACCGCCTTCTGCTCTCCGGCCCTTCCCCCTCCCTGGGCTCCGCGCATCGGCTCCGCGCAGGCGCTAGCCTGCCCTTCCCCCGCGCCCCTCTTCCCGCGCTCCGGCAGCAGCCTGCGGGGCCCTGCCGAGAGCACAAAAGGCCTCGGCAGCTGGCGTCCCCCCGTTGCCTGTGGCAACCATTGAGCGGCGTCTCGCTCTCCCTTGACCTTACAATGAGTAAAAAGGGCCTCCATTGGCTAGCCGGAGAAGGGAGGCCAATCGGAGTAGAGGTTGTAAAGAGGCGGCCGAGAGAGGCTGTGGGGGTAGGAAGCTAGGGTTAGAGGCTGCCGGTGAGGCTAGAAAGCCCGCGTGGTCGGTTGGAGGAAATATGTCTGTCCGGAGGCACATTGGGAATCCTGAGGTGAGGGCCAGGTCCGGATCCGAGAGCCGGAGGGGGCGGGCGCACCGGAAAAGGCTCCACGTGGGCAGGGAAGAGCAGCTAGCGACTTCCGCCGGCCGGAAGGCGGGAAGCGGCCGGCGAGAGGAGGGGTCTGGAGAGCGGCGGGAGGCGGGGCGGGCCTGGGGGTCTCGAGCCGAGGCCGTTATCCGGTGGTGAGAGGCCGCTCTCCCGCACATGCTCGCTGTGGCCTGGCATTTGTCGCCCAGAGGAGCAGCCAAGTGCACGAAGACACAGCCCCTTCCCTCAAAGGGCTTACAGTCTAGGCGTGGCAGTTACACAACATAACGAACATATGCATGAACGCCCCGAACACGAAAGGAGCAAAATCAAAAGGAGCCATCATTTCTGATTATGGGGATACGGGAAGAGTGGGAATAAGCAGATCAAGCCATTTGGAAAGGACGCAAAATATGACCTTAGTTTACCCTCTTCCCTGTAGGACCATTTCCTTTCTTGTCTGTTTCACCCCTAGGGCCCTGCTGCGTTTGTGGCAATTAATTTCAACAAATGTTTATCGGACCCTTACACTGCAGTACGTGCTAGAAATACAACGAGAGTAAGACAAGGCATTTGTCCTTTAATAAATTCAGTCTAGTGAGGGAGACTTTTAAACAGAATTTGAATGCGATGTGGTTGGGGGACAAGTTGAGAGAGCACAGAGGAAAGATTGGACTCAAGGAAGTGAGGGAAGGGTCCTGGAGATGGCCTGAAATGGCAAGGCGGGTAGCCAGGTGAGGAAGCATCTCAAGTAGAGAATAGCATGAGCAAAGATGAGGAGGTGCGAAACGTGGGAGTGGACAGTTCCCTCTGGAGAAGCTGGAGTAAAGCGTGGAAGGGCCTTCTGTGCCTTGCTAAAGTACTTGGCCTTTATACCGAACAGGAGTTGCACATTATTTCGTTTCATGGTGGATGTCTATGTGCTGTGTTGAGGAAAATTGTGAGGCTCTGCAGGAGAGTACCATGATCAAATATAATCTCGACCATGAAGGTGGGGGAGGTAGGTGTGGAGAGTGGCAATTTGTCACATATTTATCTTGCCTGCTGGTCTGAATTTAAGAAGTTTTGAGGAGTTTTAAGTAACCGAGTGATGTGGTCAGATTTGCATTTTAGGCAGAGGGCTGTAGCCACGTTGTGGAGAAAGGAGGAGGCCAGGACTGGAGGTAGGCAGATTGGGTAGGTGGTATTTACGATATAGACCTAAAGGAAGGTCATGGAACGTGGGACAGAAATGAGAAATATTTAGGTAATTAAATCATTAAGACTTCATGATTAGCTTTGAGAAATGAGATTGGAATGGATGACTTAGTTTCCCAGCTTGGGCTACTCATCAGTGCCCATGTCATTAATGAGATCAGGAATGTGGGAGAAAGAGGAGTATAGGGGGATAGGAGCTGGGATGCTCTGTGTGGTCATACATTTGTGTCCTAGAGGAAGATGTCCAACTTTCTTGTGTTGATGGAGCATATTGTCCAGTAATTTCTTGAAACAGAGTGCATGAGAAATAACTTTTTTATTTATATCTAAAATGTTAGGCATGTCTGAAAATGCTGTTATTCTGCCTTCACATTTATTTCCCTGCAAGTTGGGTGGAGTATAGAATTCTTGGTTGGAAACCATCAGCGTTTTGAAAACATTGCATTATAGTTTTCTAGCATCCAGTGTTGCCGTGAAGTCCAAAGCCATGCTGTACCTTTGTACTTGACTTGATTTTTCCTTTTTAGAAGCTTGTAGAATCTTCTCTATGTTACCAGTGTTGTGTTTCACAAAGATATTCCTTGCTATGGGTCTCTTTTCACTCATTTTGGTGGGTACCAGAAATGCATGTCTTTCTATTCTGTGAAATTTTGTTGAATTATTTTGTTGTTAACTTCTCCTTCCTATTTTCTCCATCCTCTTTTTCTTGAATTCATTATTTTCATGTTGCTTCTATAAGACTGGTTCTCTAATTTTCTTAAACTTTATTTCCTGTTTTCCACATCTTTGTCTTCTTGCTCTCTTTCGGAGATTTGTTTATCTTCTAATCCTATTTAATTTCTGCTGTTGTGTTTTTAATTCTTTTTTTTTTAAGATTTTATTTATTTGCGAGAGAGAGAGAGAGAGAGAGTGAGAGAGAGAGTGCACGAGAGGGGGTAGGGTCAGAGGGAGAAGCAGGATTCCCACTGAGCAGGGAGCCTGATCCGGGACTCCATCCTGGGACTCCAGGATCATGACCTGAGCCGAAGGCAGTTGCTTAACCAACTGAGCCACCCAGGCGCCCCTGTGTTTTTAATTCTTAAGACCTCTGTTTTGGACTCTGATGTCCTTTTAAAAAAACATTTTATTTTGATGGGGCACCTGGGTGGCTCAGTTGTTAAGCGTCTACCTTCAGTTCAGGTCATGATCCCAGGGTCCTGGAATCGAGCCCCGCATCAGGCTCCCTGCTCTGCGGGAAGCCTGCTTCTCCCTCTCCCACTCTCCCTGCTTGTGTACCCTCTCTTGCTGTGTCTGTCTCTGTCAAATAAATAAATAAAATCTTAAAAAAAAAAAATAGACATTTTATTTTGAAATAACTGTAGATTCACAGGAAGTTGCAAAAATAGTAGTCCCATGTACCTTCACCCAGTTTCCCCCATTGATTATATTTTATGTAAGTATAATACAATATCAAAGCCATAAATTTGTACAGATTGACATTTGTAAAATGTGTGTATAATTCTAGGCTATTTTTTCACATGTGTAGATTTAATATAATCAAGATTGCATGTGTTTAGATTTATAATCAAAATACAGAACTATTCCATCACCAGAAATATCTCCCTCATACTACCCCTTCCTAGTCATTTCCACTTTCCTCTGCCTCACCATCCTAACCCCTGGCAATCACTAATGTGTTCTCCGTTTCTGTAATTTTGTCATTTGGAAATGTTACATAAATGGAATCACATGATATGTGACCTTTTGAGATTGGCTTTTTTCACTCGGAATAATGTCCTTGAGACACATTCAAGTTGTTGCCTATAGCAATAGTTCATTCCTTTTATTGCTGATTAGTATTCTGCGGTATGTATGTATAACAGTTTGTTTAACCATTCAACTATTATAGGCTATTTTGGTTGTTTTCAGTTTGAGGCTATTATGAATAAAGATATGAACTTTTGGGTACAGCTGTTTGTATGGATGTTAATTTTCATTTCTCTGGGATAGATGCCTGGGGGTGTAGTTGCTGGGTTGTATGTGAGCTTACATTTAGTTTTTTAGAAACTGCCAAACTATTTTCCAGAGTGTACCATTTTAGATTCTCATTACCAGTGGATGAGAGATGAGTTTTTGCACATTCTTGGCAACATCTGGTATTGTCAGTATTTTTATTTTAGTTGAGTTTTTTTGGTTTTTGTGGGGTTTTTTTTGTGTTTGTTTTTAGAGAGGGAGTGAGGAGGGGGGAGGGAGGGGCAGAGGTAGAGGAAGAGAGAATCTCAAGCAGGCTCCACGCCCAGCACAGAGCCCAATGTGGGGCTTGATCTGATGACCCTGGGATCATGACCCGAGCCAGAATCAAGAGTTGGACGCTAACTGACTGAGCCACCCAGACGCCCCTATTTTAGTTGTTTTAATAGGTACACTGTGACATCTCATAATGGTCTGAACTTGTATTTCCCCAATGGATACCGAGGTTGAACATCTTAAATTTTTTCATGTGCTTATTTGCCATACATATATCCTCTTAAAAAAATATCTCTTTGTATCTTTTGCCTAATTTCTAATTGGATTTTTTTACTGTTGTTTTGTGTGTTTGCTTGTGACTGTGTAAATATTGATTATTGCCAAAGCAGTGATCATTACAGTTACATTTTCTTTCTTATTACTTTCTGTTTTCCTTGGAGTTCCTATCTACCTTTATTTTTATTCTATACTATTTCTAAATTTTTATAAACAATGTAGGAAAATTTTCCTACATCACTATTTATCATTTGTTTCCAGTTATCTTTTCCAAAATGTTCTCTGTGCATTTGTGTGTGTGTATGTGCGCACTTGTATGTGTCGAGAGAGTTTTATTTTGTGGTTTTCTTTTACCCAAATGTTATAACATTATATATATGGCTTTTTGGTTTGCTCTTTGTACTTAACACTAAGTCTTGGAGATCTTTCCATGTCAGACAAATATAGGTCAACTTAATTCTTTTCTTTTTAAGGGTAGCAAGTATTGTTGTTGTTTTTTTTAAAGATTTTATTTATTTATTTGAGAGAGAGAATGAGATAGAGGGAGCATGAGTGGGGGGAGGGTCAGAGGGAGAAGCAGACTCCCTGCTGAGCAGGGAGCCCGATGCGGGACTCGATCCCAGGACTCCAGGATCATGACCTGAGCCAAAGGCAGTCGCTTAACCAACTGAGCCACCCAGGCACCCTAATTCTTTTCTTTTAACTCTTACATAAGTACTTGGTCTGGTTGTAGAGCAAAAGGTTTTTTTTAATTTTTGTTACTTGTTAAATTTTAATGTTTTTACTAACAGCATTATGAGATATAATTCACCCATCTAAAGTATACAATTCAGTGGTTTTAATATATCACAGAGTTGTGCAATCATCACTAATTTTCATTACACCGAAAAGAACATTTTCATTACACCAAAAAAATTCTGTAACCTTTGGCTGTCATTCCCCAATTTTCCCATTGTCTCCCCTATCTAGTCTTGACAATCACTAATCTACTTTGTCTCTATATTTGCCTGTTGTCTACATTTCATATAAATGAGTCATGCAAAATGTGGTCTTTTGTGACTGGCTTCTTTAATTAACTTAGAATAATGTTTTAAATTATAATGTTATATCATGTCTTCGTACTTCATTCCTTTCTACTGCTGAATGATATTCCTTGACATAGACATACATATTTTATTTGTTCTTTCTGATGGACATTTGGGTTGTTTCTACTTTGGTGGTATAATGAATGATGCTACTATGAATATTCATGGACAAGTTTTTGT